CCCAGGCTGCTGCTGCTGCAAAGGCATCGGCGTGCTGTACATGGTGTACCCGTGAGGCATGGTCTGTGGGGAGAACAGACAGGAGAGTGAGCCTGCTGCGCTCACGTCGGTACAGAACTATAGAAACTGCATTACAGAAACACTTTCCTTGGACAAGACCCTTAAGATCAAGCCCAGCTGTTACCCCAGCACCATATCTCCATGGCTTTTAAATCTTTATAGGGATAGCAACCCCAACACTTCCCCAGGCAGCCTGGGACAGGCCTTGACAATCCTTTTGGGAAAGACATTTTTCTTAATATCCAACCTAAACCTCTCCATGGCACAACTAGAGGCCGTTTCTTCCTCTTGTCCTGTCACTTGCTCCTCGTGAGATGACTGACCCCAACCTCACTCCACCCTCCTGTCAGGAAGTTGTTGAGAGCCAGAAAGTCTCTCCTGAGCCTCCTCTTTTCCAGGCTAAACAACCCCAGGTTCCTGAGGTGCTCCTCACAAGACCTGTGCTCTGAACCCTTCACCAGCCTTTTTGCTACTTAGATTAGCTTAACTACAGAAAAAAAGAGATGGCCTTTAACAAAGAGCCAAAGCCTGGACAACCAGAGGCAAGCCAACGAGAAGCAGTGCTGTGCTTGTGCACTCACCTGTGAGTGCCACACCAGTTGTACCCTGCTTCTGTTTGCTGGCTCAGGCAGCTGTGATGTGGTGACACAGCAGGATAGAACCTGCACCGTGTCACCTTCCCTGAGCAGCACTGAGCAAGAGCAGGGCTCTGCTCCACAGCTCCCCTTCTCTTTTTGTCTCCCCCCCATCCAAATTTCCAAGTACTAGAATGGCCACAATATAATAGTTACTGGTATCACTATCTCACCAAAAATCGGCCAAACGTCAGGCTTAACTCTTCAGCATGTTTGCCTTTACCAGCAGCACCATTCAGAAAAACTGGGAAGTGACCACACTAAAAAAGTTTATGAGCTACAGGATACAGAGACCACAAGCACTCTTGAAGGAGGCGTTGTTGTCACCACAGGCCACAGTCATGGGGCTCATCCCAAGCATGGTAAAGGAGCTCTGCTCAAAGGTCTTCCCATGTCAGCCCCCGTGGGAGCAGCGTGGTACCTGTGCTGGCTGTAACCCTGGGTACGGTGGGAGCTGAGACGGAGGTCGAACTTGCGGAGTGAAAATAGCAGCTTGGTCCATCGGTTGACTCTGAAAGACACATCATCCATCAGATACGGCCTCCACACCCCAAACAAGCCCAGTTCTGGACACAAACCCCACCAAGGTATGTCCTAAAGAGTCATGGTGGGACTTGTTTCCTTCAAGACAGCACCGTTGCTCAGTGCCAAGCTGCTGCACTGTATTTGTTTTCTCACAGTGAGATGGAAGAATTGATTTTGTTTCATTTCTGGCACTGCTGTAACACTGCAGCAGTGAAGACAACCATTTACTGAACAGAGGTCTTGCAGACACACTTCAAAAATGGGGCTTTGGAAAGGCTTAAAATACTCCAGCTGTCTTGAAGACAGTACATTAAACTAACCAGGAAGCTTAGAATAATAATCTCCAGCACAAATACAGTTGGTACCTTTCTGAGGCTACCTGATCACTGACTTTCCCCCAGATGGAGCAGGCAAAATGCTGACCAGCACATTTTATGATGACATACAGAACACCAGGGTGACACATGGGTAAGGTAAGCACCCAGCTCCCAGCCAGCGCCGCCTGGGAACACTCCCTGCCCGTGAGCAGCAGAGTGCATTCATTTCAGACTGCCTCAGTATTTACACCCAGCTAATGACAAATCATCTGAAGTGCCCCAGCATTATCATTCTCATCAAAAGCAAAGTGTGCAGCCTGTGTGCGGAGAGGAATGCATGTTTGTGCAAAAAAAAAAAAACAAAAACAAGCAATTCCCGGTCTCTGAGTGGTTACCATGATGTTGTCAAAGCCATCCTGAAGGGACACGGCAGTGCTACAGACATCCTGGAGGGAAAGGACAGGCGAGAGCACAGCAAACAATACAAAGAACAGACACCATTAGGCTCGGGTTGTTCGTGGAGTTAGTACCACACCTTTACACAGCGCACCTGCATGTACTCAAAGAATACTGGTGTTTAGAAACACTGACAAGGTCCTTTTAGGTGGTTTGTATGCTAATGAACCACAAAACCTCTATGAAATTTATGCACAGAAGCTCTAACCATGGAAAGGACTCCTCGCCATCCACAGAAGCCTGTAAATTCTACACTCCAAAAACTTTTAACAAGCCGTTAGTCCCTATAGACCTTGCATCATAGCTATTCATTTTCATAAGCTCAGCCCGGACAGCATAGCACCAACAAGCAGAGCCCTTCTGGACTGGTGTTGCAGAACTGTCCACACCAGTGCCAGTGAGCTCCAACTGAGTAGGGAATTTCATTCTTCAGCTGCAGGAACATAAACAAAGAAGAAACTTTCTGTAGTTAAGCTCTGCCTAACAACATACAACACATAGCATCAATGCTTACAAATCTTCTTGTTGCTAAATTTTCAAAGACACCTTATTAATATTATTTAGACATGGATTCACACCTTTGTGCTGTTTGCTCTCCCTACTGACAATCTGCCTAACCAGGACAACAGCACTTGGGAGGAGCAGCTAACTGGATCTTAACAGCTCAGATACCAGCCCTGTGAAACCAAAGTGACATGCAACATCTTCTGTCTTCTAAACCCAACAGTGTTAAGCAACAGCAATTCTTAGGTGTGAGAACAACATGTTATTTTGAATCTTCAATTATTACTTTTTGGTCCAACTAGCCATAAGTAGCAATCATCATTTGTCTATTCAGTGCTCGTATTCAAGCCACTATTCTATCATAGTAATTGAAAGCCAGTTGGACCTAGTACTAGAAGATTGTAATCTCTAGTAAGAGATTGGCTAATGTAAGAAATACTGCAGAGTTAACTGTACAGCCCATTACCTAACGTTTAGGGTACCTGATCCTTAGTACCTCATAGTGCCTTCAGGACATAAATGAAGGACCAATTATCCACTGATTTATTATATGGTAAAACAAACAAAACACATTCAGAGCTTTGTGGGGTTGCTTTTTGTTAAGGTATTAGTACAGACACAGGGAAACCTGTTTCACAACTACAAGCAGCCCCAAACTATAGCCTATCAGCAATTAAAGCGCTGTAAAGGGCTTTGCAGGCATTATAGCAGAGACTGAAAAAAGGATGAAAAGGACAGTGAGTGAGCTCTAACAAAATACAGCCAGCATGGGAGAAATTACAAGGACACTTCCTAAAAATTTGGACTGTTTTGAGCAGAGAGGGCACATCGCAGAGTCTGAAGGCAAGACAGCATAAAGGCAATTCAATATCTACTGCAGCAAGGGTAAGAATGGTACAGAAGAACTAAAAAATAAAGGTGAGATGTTCTTGATTTTGCCACCAACTACTGCACACGCATTGCAGGTTATCTGGGATCCAAACCCCAGTTTTCTGATCTTATGCCATCAATTGAAAAGTAGCCTGTCTGTAGCCATACCCTGAAATCAGCTCAGGCTCCAAACGGAAGGGTGCTGCACAATAGCCATGCGTGGCTTGGCACACAGCAGCAGCTGTGCTCTGCAAAAACGTTAGGAGAAGAAACACCAGCTACTTCTAGAGAACACGGGTGTCTGTGAGCACATGTCTGCGACTGGCTCCTGCTGGGCTTCCTAGAGTTCTCCCTGTGAAGGGCAGCACTGTGCCTCTGCTGCTTACTTGCAGCTTGGTGGTAACATAGCACCATGCAATTCCACCATGAAAGTCTGTGACACAACAGGGAACACAAATATCATCAGGCAGCAGAAGCATAACCTGATTTCAGGAAACTCAGGAAAAATAGAAGAGACTAAGACATCCAAGGGCAAATGAAGTTTAAAAGCAGGTGGTCCAGGTTAAGCATTATTTGGGGAATTACCACGGTTGTAAATACCGGCTGGCTACGCAGGGCAAGCAGCCCCAAGGGAAGGCAAAACCCCTGTGCTGCTCTTCAGATGGAGGGGTCTGGACAAACCTGTTGGAGGGGCCGTGACTGCACCTGCTGCCTGAGGAGCTGCTGCTGCTGCTCTTGATGCAGGAGCTTCATCTGGAGCAGCTGGTGCTGAGGGGCGGGCGCGTGGAGAGACAGGGGCTGCATGGTGGTGCCCGAGCGCCGCTGCAGCATGTTCGACAGGGCTTGCTTCGTGTTTGACGGGACAAAGGAGCCTGCTGGATCCAACCTGGAGCCACCTGAAACCACCCAGAACACAGATGTGTTCTCTGCCTTCCGTCAGAGCGTTGCTGGTACAGATGGCTGCCAGCTCAGCAGCTCCTCGTCGGCTAGTTCTGCAACGAGGACAAGCTTATCTCTGCAAGGGCAGACTGAGAACTGGGTTAAACCTGGTTACTGGCCTGAAAAATTACACAGGCAACATAACTTTGAAGACTTCCACTTGCAAATGAGGATGAAAAGCAAAAAGGCTGTGGGCTGTTGCATGTTCTATGTCATATGAAGTGTTTGACTACTACTGATGAACAAAAGTTGCATGTCAGATCAAAAGCAATACAGGAACAGCTTATTATGTCAAGCCAATTTTATAAAGAGACAGCAGTAATTTACACGTTCTATGCTATTTGATAAAAATAAGTCAGACTAACAAAGGTAGTAATTTTTTTTTAATTAGCATTTCATTAAACTTCTTAGCTACTGTGTAGTATCTTCTGAAGATTTTCACAAACTTAAAATACAGATCTAGTTGTATTTGGAGCTTCAGAAAAAATATCTAACAAAAAAATCTAAATAAAAACTAAATAGATAAAATCTACAAATAAATAACAAATATCTATCTATAACTGGAACCCAACTTCTAAAATTCTGCTGCATGATATTTGAGAAGGACACAACAGTATTTCTCAAAACATCATAAACAGCTGCCTTCTAGAGCAAGTAAAATACCTGTGTTAAACTGTGCACATTAACTGGAAGAAAAAAAATCCTACAAAAAATTATGCACAGATGACAAACGCTGAAAAAAATGCAAGCCCATGGATTATTTTTTATTCCATGTAGCAGATGTTAAGTTAGCCACCATGGATCTTGGTATGAATCAGAGAAGAAATAACCCAAAGGTCACTCATTCCTTTTAACCAACCCTCTCTTACTTCACTCTTTGAACTTCTACGAGCTTTTTTATGCTATCACTACAGTAGGTCAATTTTACTGATCTACCAAAAAAAAAAGTGTCATAGCTTAACAGAGACAGACCTACCATCAAGAACAGAAAGCCCTTCAAAAAAACAGCTAATTAAGAACTAAAACAAATGGCATCAGCAGACTCAGTATTCTTTGGAAGAACTGAGAAGTCGACCTCTGTCACACACGACGCACTACAGCCCCACGTCTGGGTGTTCATACCTGGTGTGAGGGGCTGGCTCTGCCCGAAGAAGCCCGGCTGCTGCGGCTGCCCCAGGACGCCGTAACCCCACAAAGGCTGAGGATGGGGCATCATTTGGGAGGAGAGCGAAGAGTAAGTGGGAGGCACTCTGTATATGTTGTTCTGTGGATATTCCTTAAAATATACAGTAAAAGTGAACATTACTGACATTCATACCTTACAAACTCATAAATAATGCCAATTTTCCTACTAAATTATTAAAGGACAGAGACGGTTCCCATTGTTGTTTGCAATGATGTATAAAACAGATTAAGTCTCAGGCTGCCCACAGGTAATTAACACTAACGACTTCATACACACACTTTTTACCTTATTAGCAAATATTTTCTGCAGGCTATAATTAGGTATAGCAGAAGGGCATCTTACTGTATCAGTATGTAAATAACAGAACTTAACTGAAACATCAAAGAGGCCATAAAATGATCTTAAAATTACAGCTACCTAAATGCAACATGTTGAAAGACCAGCTGGATGCTGACAGAACAGTGTCACACCTACAACACGTATGACCCCGCTGGCAGCAGTGTGAAGAGGAGCTCACCACACAGAACGCTGCTCCTGGAAACCCGAGTTATTATTCAGGGGGTGCCAAGCACATTTTTCCAACTCTTTCTCGGTCTAAGAGATTTTTCAGGTTAGGAACCCACACCTCAAAAATCAGCAAAAAAACAGAAGGGAAGGCATCTCAGAAACCAGAACAAACTGTCCGGTACAGCAGTTTATTTGTGTGAAGGAGCCCTTTTCAAATAGGTTTCCATTTGAGTGGGGCTTGTGTTTAAAACCAACATGTTTGCTCTCAACAATCTGAAGAGAGGGAGTTTACAAACAGTAACAGCTGTTTCACACCAAACAAGAGAAAGCGCATATAGAACCCAAATAATCCTCAGTAAGATCCAGCCTAGTGTATTTTACACAGCACATAAGGTGCTAGGCACAGGACATTCTTGAGCTCTATCTGACAGAAACCCACTCTCTTGGTGACCATCTCCATTTTACTCCCTTAATCAGGATACACTCCTCCAGGTGCAGAACAACTTCTGAAGGTAGCAAAGATGCACCAGGCAACATCAGATGCTTCAGTGAGATATTTCCAGTTTTGTATGGGGCACCAACTACTCACATCACCCCTTGAGCTCGACTTCGACTTTCGCTTCCTGCCCTTTATCTTCTTCTCATCGTCCGTGGCATGTTTTCCCTGATCAGAGAGTTCTCCTGACTTTCTTTCTGGTTCCTGAGACACAGGTGTGGTGGGCTCTTCCTCCTCTTCCTCTGGAGGAAGGGGCAAGGGCTCAAGGTAGTAACTCCGTGGCTTGGGTTTGGGGTGTGTGTGGTACAGGAGGAGATGCTGCTGCTCCTCATATTTTATCACTTTCCTGTCGACACGAGCTGTACCAAACCATGCCCAGGAGAGAGGAGCAGGATTTTTGTGTCCTTCAAATAAATCCCAAGGGGACACCTTTTGTTTTGTTGAAACTTGAAGACCCTGTTTCAGAAAAAAAGTGAATATAGAAAGCTGAACATGAGACCAGATGACTTTTACACATGATTATTCAAGTCAGAAAAATCCAGTAAGGATTTTTTCATCTCCACAAAACGTACCAAATGCATCCTGGTGGGAATTTTAACCCCTATCAAAGGCTGCCACTAGGTAAAAACAATTACTTTTTTATAATATCATTTGGCTATAGCTATGCTAAAACTATCGACTTCCATTATTCATATGGAAGACAAGTCAAATATCAAAAAATGCTCATCTGAGAACATCCTTGCTACAGGATTATATATTCAAATAAGGGGAGAAAGCCTAAGTGTATCACAAAAATTGTCTACCCAGTCTGCAGAATAAGAAGTTCTATACTAAGCTACATGTTTCTCTTTTAAATAAATTCACTTTAAAAAACCATGCACTCCTTCATATTAAAAAAAAAAAAAAAATCCAAACCAACCAATACACTTCTCCATTCTACCCTTTTTTTCACTCTTTCTTTTGTAAGTAGGACACCCTCCACCTTCTTCCCAGCAACTAAGAGGTCAAACAGTTCTCAGGTAAAATGAGCTCTCAGATGTAGAATTCTGCCTGAAAAGCAAATACTTCTGTAACAGCTTCTGCTTTTCAAGTCAAATCTAACTTCCCTCTTGGCAACTTTGGTGGAGTTGGCTGACATCAGCCAAGACCCTGTATCGCAAAACTGAGCGAGCTTGTGTCAGCACTCATCCCATCAGCAGTGACAGACTGACCAGCTACTCCATGGATTTAACAAGGAAGGCATGTAGCAAACAGGATGACTGAGTCTTAAATCGGAAAGTGAAAGGTTCCCCGGTATCTTGAATTCGTATAAGTGGCATAAAACAGTTTCCATTAAAGATGCATATATATGGGCCTGTAGCAACAGGAGAAGGGGTGCTGGTTTTAAACTGAAAGAGGAGAGATTTAGACCAGACAGAAAGAAGACATTTTTGATGCTGCATGTGGTGAGCCCCTGGCCCAGGTTGCCCAGAGAGGTGGTCGCTGCCCTGCCTCTGGAACCATTCCAGGTGAGGTTGGCCAGGGCTTTGAGCAACCTGCTCTAGTTGCAGGAAGTTGGACTAGATGACCGTGAGAGGTCCCACCCAAACCTTTCCATCATCTAAAGCTCTTAGACTATCTGCAGTTGTCAGTGAATTGTCAGAGAGGGGCAGATGGAATCGCTGTGCTGCTGCTGCAGGGGTGGTGATGCTGGTGCACGGTCACAGTGTGGTATCACTGATCAAAGAAAGCCAACCTGTTTAAAAGGGCCTGCTCTGCTGAGGTGAAGCTGAGGTAATGGCTGAGAGCACATCAGAAAGCTGTATTTCAGCAGAAGGACAATGCTGTTATGATGCTGCATATAAACTTGTGTACTGTGCAACTCTACCCGTTTGCTTCAACTTCCTACACTTCAAAAACCACGGAAAAACTAAGATGAAAGCAATCATTTACTCTTGCCTGTTTCTTATCAATGGAGTCAAATCCTGCAATTTTGTTCCCCTTGGTGTCAATCAAGGATCCCATTGGCTCGCAAGTGATAATATCACATGTCTGCTTTGGCAAAGGGAGCAGCTGGCGGATCTTGTTGATGCTTTCTGACCGCTTGTCTCCCAGCTCCTTCTAGAGAACAAATGTACCCATCAGGCCAAATGGGTGGGGGGGAAGAAAAAAGAGGACAAACATTGCACTTCTCTCGCTATTAGAGACTGCACAGTTTCTGGATGAATCACTTCCTTGCAATTTTACTAAATTTAAACCAATGGCATCTCATTTAAATTGAACGTAGAAAATAGGTAATACTTTTACTCATGTTTGAGACACTAAATTTGTAACTAAGTGTCTTTCAGGGTCCCTAATTTTAATCAAATAGGAAGAAAATAGTAGAAGTCTGTCTTCCCACCCCCACACTCCTTTTATTTTTATTTTCTCCTTGTTATCACTTGTGCTCTTTCCTCTTTTCCCAAGAGGCCTTCCCAGACACTAGAAGCCACAGGACTAAAAACGAGCACAGACTGCAATTCAAAAGAAACGCTGAAAATTAAATCATAACACTTACTTTTAATTTTTTCACTAAATTCATGTAAGCCCTTTTGTTTTCCTCAGGCCCTCCTTGGGAAGCGTTTGACAAGTCCGAGGCCAGTGTGCCATTGATGAGGACGCCCAGCATATCCAGCACAGTCGTGAACAGTTCGCTGGGAGCAGAGACAAGTATGACCTTGAGGAACTACTGAGTGCCAAGAGACCCAGGGAGATACCACAGCAGAGGCCACGCATGCAGCTTGTGGGGCAAGCCGGGTTTTTCAAGGCTTTCTGCACCACCCGCCCGCCCCAGCTCACACGCGTAAGCCCCAGGATACATGTGCAGGTGGACTGTCAAGACGTACAAACAAATCTTGTGATCGACCCCACTCAGAGCTAGAGCCAGTCCCAACTGCTTCACACAGTCACTAGGAACCGCAGGCTCCAAGGTAGGGAAGTGCTCAGGGACATGCTGGTTAAGGACAAGCACAAACAGTGGCTCCAGTGCTTTCCAAAATCGAGGCACTCCCCAGCCGAGACCGGCACTGAGAACATAAGTTGCACTTGAGCACTAACAGGACAATAGTAAGAAAAATGTAATAACATCCATGCAGTCTAAGCTTAAAAGCACCAAGGATAGGAATTAGCTCATTTAAACAGTGCAGGCGTACTTGTTGGTCTGTGTATCAACAGTTCCAGAAGTGATTATCTGCAGGAGGAGAAGTGCCCAGTCAGTTGTCCATTGGGTGCTCCTCTGCACGGTATCAAACATGCCACCTACCTGCAAAACAACAGAGCAGGCAGCACGGCTCTGCATGCTCCTCTGGCAGGCATGTGGCCCTCGCCCTACAGAGAACACCCATACCCAGCCCCACGAGCCCGTGTGCTGCACGCCGGCATGAGCTGCTGACTCCAAGTAACTTCTCCTCCCCACTCCATGCTCCCCAGCAAAAAGTTTCTCCTAAGGAGGAAATCTAGAGAAGCAAAATATTATTACACTGCTTTCAGCGTTGTATCTTCACTTTCATATTTGATGCAACAATTGAAGTTGCTGAAAAAATTCTCAGAGTTGAAAAGGTGTCACATTAAAACCTGAGTTACCCCTGCACTGATCTGCATCAAGTCGTCTCTCTTGATGTTTCCCACTTCGCAACTTTCCAAAGAAAACTATTTTTATTTTGTCACATTTATAATCACTCTGTGTCCCTTCACTGTTTGTGCTTGTAGTTGTTTCACTTCACATAATTCTTCCCCATACTTAAAGCTTATTTCAGGGTTGTGTCTTGCTCAATAAATACAGGGACTGTTTCAATTCTCAGTCCTGCTTTTAGCTCCTAAACCTTGCTGACTTTGCATCTAAGAAGATTACTCCTTGAACTACATAAGCAGTTGACAGTTTGCAAAAGGATAAAATCTTGCTGCTTTAATGTTAAACCAAATACTGCCCATATCAAGAGTTCTCCCAACCCCCACGCATGTTCCATAGCACCAAAGGGCAGGTGGCAGATGCTTTACTTTACATGACGCACAGCAATCCCAAAGTTGGTCACAGCTGGCCCAAGTCCCCTTGGCCTGACCTAGTGGCAGCGTACGGCTGTGGTTACTCCTCTAGTTGCTCAGCCACACTTAAGCAGCTTCCAAGGAGATGGGAAAATAATGCTGCAGTGTTATTCCTGCCTTGGTGCTCCCTCATTTGCCCTTACACATAGTCTCCACACACCTACTGCACTGTGCTAAACAATCTGTGGTGGCCCTGACAGCTGGTACAGGGATTTCAAGAGATGTGGGATATTAGAGTACTTGATGGAAACTTTCTGCATCAATTAATACATGTATACAAGTAGAAGCAACTGAAATTGCACATTAAGTTAAAGAGCCAAATGTTACGTTCCCCGAGAGCTCTGAAAGTCTGCTACATTGACCACCTAATTCCATAAAATCCTTGCTTGTAACATGGGAATAAACCATCAGTGGACAACACCTGGGTATGTCCACAAAAGATGACACATTTCTGAGGTTCCAGGGATGCTGAAAGGAAGAAAGCAGCACAAAAATCAGGCATCAATAAAGTATAGGCTCTCCTTCCCATTTGTTCTACACAATGTCTAAACATTATAGCCAGGAGGCATCGGCTGAAACAAGACAGACAGGAAGAGCAGAGATGACCAACAGTGGAGCAGAGACACCCTTGTGTCAGGGCAGAGGGGCACCAGCAGCCATTGCTGTCCCTGGCCAGCCCCAACTGAAGTTACCCCAACCCTTGCCCTGGCCCAGGAGCCCTATGCCAGGAGCCCAAGCCTGTCCCCACAGCTCTGCCAGGGCTGCCTCTGGCCCTGGCTTTCCTCTCAGAGCCTGATCCTGATGCTCCTCTGCAGGCTGGCCTTCTGGCCTGGCCTCAGCCCATCCCAATGAAGGGACCCCCTCAGCTGCCAGCTCACCAGGAGCTGTGATGCCCTGACGTGGTGTTTCCTCCTCCTTACCACTTAACTCCAGAGTAGCTGCCACATCTTTTTATAACATCAGGACAATCACATAATTTTTTCTTACCAAGTTAAGACGAAGTTGTAGGGCTTCATGCACCATTTGCCTGGCTTTAACATCGTCCTGGTACCGCTCTTCCCGCCAGTTACTAAGGATCTACAAAAAAGCATTTGATTAAGGCTGTTTTCCTCCTGTAAAGGAAAGTTCTCTCTTTGAAGTTCAAGTATTTGTGAACCTTATCTATAAGTAATCATAAAAGATCATTAACCTTTTTATCCTCATGCCTGTCTAAGAGCAGATTAAGGAAACTAGTGGGGGGAAAAAAATTAATCTGTAAAGAACTGATGATCTGCTATTATTTGTGTGACTAGACCTTCCTGTTGTAGCAAAAAGAAAATATAAGCAGCTCTGTTAAGCATTTATTTAAAACATTATTTCAAACACCCCATTTAATTATTCACCACAGGTAAGTTAACAGATGCCTTGCACTGGATACAGCTTTCCAACATGATCTGGTAGGGTGTCTGGGTGAGAAATGACCAGAACCTTAGGGAACCTGGACCAGCTGCACATCAGGGGAGAACCCAGACAGCAAAATGAAAGCTCAAGTGACAGTAATGTCAGGGGAAAAAAACATCAAAGGAATGAGTTTAACTAGGATGTGGACCTAGTTCACAGCCTGGACCTGAGCTAAGAGGCAATATGAGAAAATAATGTCCCTACAGGTATCAATCTTTTGCCAAGAAAGGTTAGACCAGATTTCTGACTCTGAATTTTCACTGTCACAGTAACTCACAGAGACTAAAGACAGAAAAAAGGACATGTACACCCACTACACTGGACACTGTATATATTAATTTTAAAGACAGTCTTAAGGAGCTGTTGTAAGCTACAGCAAAAACCAGATAGGATCAGGAAGACTAGAGTAGATCAGCAGAAGTTGTGAGTAAACACAGGTGATCCAAAGGAAGAGTTGTAGGCAATGGGCCAGTTTGGGACTAACAATATTTGTTTTTATAATATAAAAAAGTCTTAATCTGTACAAGCTGGAGAAAATGTAAGGGTTTCCCTAAAGGATGAAAGTTTCAAAGTTATTAAAAAAAACTTCTGATCAAGCTAGAGACTGAGAAGACTGTTCTTCTCAGGACAAACATCTTTTACATTTTTCCTGGAAAGAACTTGAATCAGACTCAAGCTCATGTAACTCACCAATTTTAAGAAAAAAAGATTTATTCACTCTTGAAAAGGAATAAATACTTCCCCAATTTGTCTTCCTTGGCCTGTTCCTCTTGGCATACCACTGCACTGTAATCTTCCTGGTTTTACACCACCATACGCGCATAAAACCGATGACACATAAAACATCTAACAGAGGGTGCTCAAGGTTCTGTGCTTGTTTTACCTGATTAACTTGATTCTGCAGTGATGTTAGAAGCCCTTCCCGTTGCTCATCCTGTCCTTTAAGGCAAGTAAGTACCAATGAAAGGAAAGGCTGTTGACTCAAGAGAGACATGCTTCAAGAGAGGCAAACACAGAAGTCAATTAGTAAAGTTATTTTGATACTTCCCATTCTTGCTCCCTTCCTTGTTTTGTCTGCTCTTTTTCCTGGCAGTGGCACTGCCCACATCTGTGTCTGTTTCTGTTTTAGTAAATTAGAGCCCTGCCAGACAAATTAAAAGACCATGCACATAAGAAGGCAGCACACCAGCCAGTATAAATACCCATATTATGCAGATCATTACTGAGAACCCACCTAGCTCAGGGCACTGAATGACCAAGAATTGCCTGGACACTTGAAGGCCTGTCTCAGGAACAGAACATGTTATTTTAAGACTGCTTTGATTAATCAGGGCTCTAACTAAATCAACCGTTTTGTTTTCGCTAAATCAACTACTTTGATTAATCAGGGTAGCTAACTAAAATTAGCTGCCTCATTTTAGTAGAGATTAGGCAACTTAAGTTTGTAATCCACATTAGTAGTCTGATGTAGGGGAAACTACTTGGGACTCACAAGCTCTGATTAGGATGATAGCTGCCTAAATTCTACTAAAATTCTAAGATGGGCTTAGGTTAAAAGTAAACTGAGCTGCAGCTTTAGCTGGCTGTAGGAGACAAGTCATAGCAATGCAATGGCTTGAAGATTATTTTTGAATTTTAAGATAATTGTGTATCCATTATAAACATAAGATGAAGACGAACTGGAAGAAATACACAAAGATGAGTTTGGAAGTATACCTTGTGGAGAAGAAGAGAAAAGGTCAGCAAAGGGAGATGAGTAACAGGTCACGCAATGAATTTTGCAGTTTTAGGTATATAGGCTCAATTACATGCATCCATAAACACAATATAAATGTATAACCACACATACATGTGGGTATTTATTACAACTACTCATTTCAACAGTGCTTTTCATTTAACTTGTCCAGTGAGAATTAGTACAGAGGAATGGCAAAATCTCCAGGTCCCATAAAAGGAGCAAAACAGAAAATGTGCATTTTCAAAAGTCATGTTAAACAGCAATTTTCAGATTTAAGGAACAGCATGGTAGAAACATCTCTTCATTTTCTGATTAATTTCCATAGGAAAAATGTAGGGTTTGCAAGACAGTACTGCTATTGCTACAACCCTTCTACACAAAGCAGTGTTTGAAAAAAGAGATCTTACATATGTTATCAAAGGCTTCATATTTTCACATAGTATCATTGGTTCTGTCACTCACCAAGTAGTAAGGTTTATTTTTGTTCAAGAAGAGATCAAAAAGCTTCATACACAAGAAAGTAATTTATTGTTATAACTAGAATGACTTTCTAAATGGTTTTACTTCTGCCCATAGGAACTACATGGAGGAAGTGCCTGACAGTTTCCACAGGCATTTTATTTTGGCTGTGAAAGGGGCACAGTTTAGATTTTCTACACTAGAATTCTTCCGTAGCAAAAGAAATGGAAGACACAGAGAGGTTCCATACTCCCTTCTGCTGATGCAAACAGCAAGAGAGCCAGTGAATAAGAGAAGTGTTGAAATGCTCAGAAACACCTAACAGAGAGACCTGGTAAGCAAGATGTCTTTTTATCTAACAACAGATCAAGCAAAAGGACAAGGAAGAGATGGCTTCACAAAGCCAATGCAAAGCACACAACTCAAAATTACACGTGGCAAACAGAACTTCCATAGGTCAATAAATCACCTAAGAAGATTATCAAAGAAACAGCCCAGACGAACTAGGAGAGTCCAGCAGAACACAGAGTTATGGGCATACTGCAGTCATGATGGAAAGGAAAAAAAAAAAATCAAGCCTAACCATAAAGGGAAAATAAGCTAGGTAGAAGAGGCTGGAAAACAGCAGTGGATTTAATTTCCACAGAATTTAATGACAATCATAAGTGAAATTCAATATGTGCAACACAGGTTTCCAAGGGTTTACAAGGTTTGCAAATTCCTGGTGCCACACTCAGGGACACTATACTGCATGAATGACAATGGTGATCAAAAAGCCAATGCAGACTAGCAACACAAGAACAAGAAACTTACAGTGGGACCACATACAACACCCAAATACCATAAGCCTTTAAGAAGTGATTTGTTTTCTCGAACAACTGTACTTTGGAAGAGCTTCAGAAAAAGAAAAGTGGTTGGCATTTGAAGCTAGGAGGCCCTGGTGTGTATGGTATCCAATGTAATTTCTATCATAACTGAGAAAGTACAAAAAAATTTATAAACACTCTGAAAGAATATTTTAATAAAGGAAAATCAGTAACCATGAAGTCATTAAAATTCTCAAGTACTTGGAAAGTTAGAGACGAGCTTAAGCTTAATTCCCAATATGAATTAAGTGACATGACAGTTACGGGATCTTAATGCGAAGAAAAGTGGCCTACTGCTATAGAAGAGAAGGGACAACAAGTGTTCCAACTGTTCTTTTAAACCTCATGTTTCCCATCACCAAGCTGCAGAATAGTCACAGAAGATGTGCTACAAAGCTTTCACAGTTCTTCCTTTGAAACCAATGAGATTTCTTCAGACTAAATGAAACCAGAACCCTGTGTGGGATTGCTCAGTTTTTGCTCCACAAAAGTGAACCAATGAAGTTTTGTGAAACCAAAATCCAGTCCTCAGTAAACTCCTCCTCAAAAACACCTTTCACCTCTGCATACAGGGATTTCCCATGGTCATACCTTTTTTGTTTCTGTCTGTCTCTTTCCTTCTTAGAAGATGACCCCAAATGCTGACCTTTCTCCAGTTCCTCTCCTGCAGCTTTCAAGACCCTACCTTGAACAGAAGTAGGCAGTCTGGCAATCAAGGGAGCCACCAGCCACACTCCGCGCCTCTCAGAGGAACTAGAAGTAGAACAAACTTACATCAGCCAAAATAGCCATATAGTTTTCAACCAATATTAGATGTTATAAGACTGAGCTGCTTTAATAAAGCAGTTGACACTGCATCTGGATTAAGTAGTGTTGACTGAGCAGTCACAGTTTCTGGCTTCCAGAAAACTCAAGAATAGCAACTATATTTATTGTCAAACAAAAGTAAACAGAAGTAACCTTCAGGTAACTCACTTGTGTATATTCCTGTCTCAAGTGCAAAAAAAAGTCTAAGCAATCTACACATAATTAAGCATCATGTTGGCTAAAATAATTAAAAAGGTGCTAAAAAAAATACCTTAGGAATGTCTTTTTACCATTCTGTCTCGTATTACTTGTGTCAGTATTTCCAACAGAGTTTGGACTGAAGAGGCCTATACCAGAGTTAGAAGAGTTATTGTTTAGATCAGCGGATTGCTGAAACACCTCTATTGTCGCCTTTGCAATATTATCCAACAAGCTGTTCATTTCAGCCACAGACCCAGAACCCTACAGTAAAACATAAGTAAACTAGCACATTCGTGGTATGCTTGCTCATGGACTACGTTAAAATTTAACATACTTTTTTTGCATTAAATATTTAGATAAGGAAGTTTGAAAACAAAATACTCACAGGCTCCTTCATGCACTGTTTGATCATTAGCTGCAGCTCCAGCCAAGACTGCCGCAGAGTCCACTGGTCTAAATTCTAGGTAAGGATTAATATTACAAATAGAATTAACATTACAAATAGAAGAGTCAACAATTCACAGATGTCAAGAAAGCAAAAAGAAAAATCTCGTAACGGACTACTTTACATGGAAGAGCCTCATCTTATAAGTGAATTATCACAATCATTGCTCTTTTAATAGTCTAATGACATGCCAAAATATCAGACCTATTTAGGAATGTACATTACCTTCCACATCTTTGCAGTTAGTATTGTTAGTCGATATTTTTAACCACACAAGTTTCCTGAATAAAAATCTCACTCTCTGCAAAATCTGAGTTCCGTTAAATATGAATACATAAAACATAATTTGCTCTTTCATCAGTGATGTCATTAATCCATGGCACTGCCATCCCAGTGGACATGTCTGTATTTAGCACAAGATACAGACACAACTGAAGTAAATGAAGCAGCTGAAGTGATTATTTTGCAGGACACTGATCACTGTTTGTCCTGGTACAGATATTGCCAACTTCACAGGTCTATTCAAAAAAAATCCATGTTGTAGTTTTAGAAATGAAGTGTCCCTAATGCAGCTGAATTTGAAGAAACAATCCATCTAGGACTGTCCACAAAGGCATCTGAGCCTTTCCCACAGAGCAGGACTGCCTTTCACCACAGCGCTGCCACAGAGCCCTGCTGAGACAGAGGCAACTCCATCTAAGCAGCCCAAAAAGCAGCTCCCTGTCCAGCTGCTTCCCAACAGCTGGCAATGCCGAGCATCAGTGAGGAGCCTGCTGCATGCTTCTTCCCTCCAAGCTGTGGAATCAGAAGTAACGAGGCACCAGAAGTCACGCTATAAACGTTTACCACAGACTGGGGATCCCAAGCACATGTATCTTTAAACAAAAATCTAAAGCTTGATTGCCCCAGGAACTACAAATCACTATCACTTGGTGGTGCTGCAAAATGACAGGCTGAGAGTCAGAGTATCACAGGTGGGTTTTCCACCCTCTCCCCACTGCATTACCTGAAGTATGCGCTTGATGTGCTGCCTCTGAGGGTTGTCACCCTCGGTGCATTCTTTGATACCATGTGGATAACAGATAAGTTGAAGGAGTTTCTGTGCTTGCTTGTTAGAAAGAACGGGATCCAAAATCAGATCTTTGTCTGTGCACAGCCTCTCAGGTTCTTTTAAACAGTGCTCGCCAACCCATTCCTGTAGGTAACCAGATAAGAGATTCACAAGATAGTTTTAAGGCAATACTAACTTTGGGTAAACTAACCAGAGAAGTGATTTTTCCACATGTGAACCCTGAAGTGAACTACAGTTCACGCAACGCATGAGATTAGAAATGTCTCCTGTCATTCCGCACCAGCTGAAAGCGTAAGGCTCTTAACAGGTTTTCCAAAATTCATTTCTTCTATACTTTGAAAGCAACTTTGCAATAGAACAAATGCTACTGCAACAGCACTTTGAGCAGTCAGCTGAGGAAGTGTTCCTACTGTCTTCTCAAAGTGCTTGAGATTCAGGTAAGAAAAAAACTCAGTTCTGATTGAGTGCAAGGAGATACTAATAACTAAAGTAATTGCCCCCCCCAGTAAAAGCTATTCCATGTATAAATTCTCCAGATCAGGAAACACAAATAGAACTCGACTACTGAAATAATTCAACATTAATTGCATTACACTTTTCAAACAAATTAGCACTGTTTCTCCAAATGAATTCAGAAGAGTAGTTTTAGAGATTACCTGCTGGCAAATTGTTCTTAGCACGTATCTAGCATACTCGCTTAAACTTGCAGTTTCTATGGAAACAGCTTTTCCACACGATTTCAGAGTGTGAGAGGAACCCCAGATTTCATCCTCATTGAGTTCATCTAGTAAGCCTCTCACATGAAAATCTTCGCTCTTCAGGGAGCTGACATTGTTGCTGCCAATTTCAGCATCGCCTGCAGAGCAGAAGCAGAGGGAGAACGTCTGCCTGGGCCCTGTGTCCCCAGGCCACCAAGGGATAGGCCAGCTGAGGAGCAAGGCAGGACTGAGGCAGTAGTGCTCAAAAGGGCAGCACTGACACTACAAATCACCATGTTCAAAGGACTGTCCACTTGCCTCATTTTACAAAGCATATTTTTAATGGATATTTCAGAAGTAGGAAAAGGTTTATAGGAATCAATCAAAGCCACTATGCGCTCGACAGGAAAAGGTCTGTAAGTGGATGGAATTGCTTTGGCTGATAAGGAAGAGTTGGGTTACTCAGCCTTCTCAGATTTCCAAGACTTATCCCTTTGATTTATTAACACTCCATAGATCAAAAGACAAGTTTTGACCAGTGGCCCCTTAGCCCACCTTACTATGAACACCTTGACAAGAGAGACTGATCTTCCTGGGAATGGAAAGGGCAGAGCATGCTGTGGGAGCCTAGCAAAACCTGCTGAA